TGCCGTGAACACATCCTCTCTGCTCTGCTTCTGCTACTGCTGCGCCACTGACTTCAAACCACCCCCTGTCATCCTCTTGTACCTACTGGAATGGACTTGCTGACAGAGAATGGGACTCTGCCCCAGAATCCTTGTGCTCCTCATGTTGCCCCCCAACTGCCAGAGAGCTCTTTCAAAATGCAGAACTGCAATGATTCCATGATCTCCTTCAGAGAACCTTTTCAGGGACTCCCCACCATCTTAATGATGCAGACCAGCGGTCGTTAACATCGCGTGCCAGGTCCTGCCTGTGTTCCTCCTCCTGTTCTCCCACCATTTACCCTCATATGCTCCAGATCCTCACGGCTTCCTCTCCACGTCACTGTGCCCTTCCCCACAGCATTTGATGAAAGTTGCATGCCCCAAGAAGTGGGAAAATTCATATGTGGGAGGTTTATTGGAGAGTGTTCCAAGTTCAACAGTTCCGGAAGGGGCAGTTTTGAACAGAAGGAGAAGCTGAGCTGCATTTGGAGTCTTGACAGAATTCAACCAATGCTTCAGAGGGGTTGGAACATGGGTTTGGAAGATGGGATGAGTTTTGAAGCTTTGCAAAGCTTTCCTGACTGGAGTGCAAGTGTCAGGAAATGGGGCATGACCTGGTGACTCTTCAGCTAAGGCAATTTCTAAAGAAGACTGACAGCTGAAAACTGCCGAGACATTAAGATAATAATTTATCATTTTAAGTAAAAATGCTTTGCTTACTCATAGCTGTGGCACCCAGGACAAAGGCAGTGAGTACATTATATTATAATTCACTCAACCACAATTCCAAGTCTCCTCAGAAAAGGATTTTAGGATAACATTATCGCTCTACAGATGGGGAAACTGAGTCCCAGATAGTGTCCCAGATCATCAACTACACAGTGACACAGTCTTATCATAACTGGCTAACACTCGAATGTCTACTTTATACTAAGTTGTACCAGATGCTTCCAGTACCTTATCTAATTAATTACTCAGGAAAATTTTGAGGTGGCTACCATTATTTCTTCATTTGACATAAGTGGAAACAGGTTTAGGGCAACCAGCAGAATAATTTGTTTGAAATCACACAACTATTAAGTGGTTGATACAGGATTTGAACCCAAGTCACTCTAACTCTACAACCTCTGCTAGTAATCACCAAGACTATTTTTTCTTAGGGCAGCAAATCATTATCCTGACACTTGTGAGCTAACAAGGAGTGTGTGTGTGTGTGTGTGTGTGTGTGTGTGTGGTATGTGCATGTGTATGTGCATGTTGCTATCATTTGTAAGGATAGCTGTAACACCACCACAACAAACACAACACTTATTTTCTTATTTTCTGTTTTGGGGGTAAGAGGATAAGCAGGTGTGCCTTTAAATAGAAAATGTTGCCTATTAACTATAAACCAGAGAATCCTGAAGTAATGTTCAGCTTCCATGTCCATTCCATGCCAGTTTCTTTGAAGCTGGTGGCCTCCCTCCTTCAATAGCTCTGCTCTCTCTCCAACAGAAACCTTGACTTCCAACCAAGAAAGGTGCACATCTGAGTGTCCTTCAGCAAATCTGAAGTCACTCAAGACCACTTAGCCGGCCAGAGCCACCAGGCTGTTAGCCCCGCGGCCTCCTCCCTGGCCAGTGAGTCACTAGTCACCCAAGGCCTCCAGGCACCAGAGAAGATTGCGGGAAGCTGTTGGGGATGGATGGGAACCAAGACAGGAGCTAAAATGAAATGAATTGTCTATAAATGTTTTTTAATTTAAATTGTGGTTCTTGTTTTATGCAGAAGAGTCTCTCTAAGAACAATTGTGAGTCCTGAGTGACAGGTGGAGAGCTCTGCACCTCTTCCCAAAGCCAGGGGGGAGGGAGGTGAGAATAGAGAAGTGATGGGGTAGCTGGTTCTTTCCCCTTTTAGGGATAAGAAAGCAAAAAGGAGGCAGGGGTAAATTGTTAAGGTGACTCCCCAGGCTGAGGCTCCTAGGGAAGGAGCTGAGCTTGTTGGGGTCCCTGGACTGGGAGTTTTGTTTCATAAAATTATACCACCTCCTCACTCAGCCCCCTGAGCCCTGTGAACCTGCAGCCAGAACCACCCACACTTCAGCCCTAGGGCCACGGGGCAGACAGAGGAGTCCAAAAGGCTTGGAAACTGTAGTATCCAGTGGAGACGCTGAGGAAGGAAGGGAGGGAGGGGTGAGAAGGGGGGAGGGAAGGAGGGGAGAGAGAGAGAGAGAGAGAGAGAGGAAGAGAACTGGGGTCCCACCGCCAGCCCACCAGGTGAGCCATCCTTGGAAGGAGCACCTGGGTGTCCAGACAAAAGAAAGTAAGAAGGGGGTGGGGGGAGCAGAGGGCCAAAGAGCCCAGAGGCAGAGAAACTAAAGAGTGTGTAGTAGCAACTTTGAGAAATGAAAGTGGACAGTCTGGCATTCACTCTCTGGCCCCAGCAAAATTTGAGTTCACCGCCAGGGCCCTAAATCCCACATGGCCCAGGCTATACTCAGCGCAGGGACTCCACTGCCAGCTCATTGCCAGTGCTCACACCTGCCTTTCAGGGACAGCAGTAGCATGTCCCGGGGCCCACATCACACTGGTGTCCTAAGGGAGTTGTGGGCCCTCTAGTACCTCTCGGGGTAGGACATCACTAAGAGGGGGGTAGAGGCGCTGCCCAGGAGCACAGCTGAGTCCTGGGCTGCAGTGGCTCGCACATCAGGAGAGCGTGTCCTGGAGTAACTCCCCCAGCCTACCTAGCTGCTCCAGAAGTCTGTTTGCACCATTCTGCATTGGGCACCACCAGTGAGGAGGGGAGGAGCCGTCACTTGGCAGGATTAATAACTGTCATTCTCTAGATCCCTCAAATTTTCTTTGACTGCAAGAGATTTATTCTAAGTCAGAAGGAGGAAAAATCATGCTTATTCTGGGCCCCATAGTTGCACAAAATCCAAAACACTACGGACATGGAGACGTGACTGGGAAACTCTAGAAAATGGGAGCCATAGGAGCTGTGAACTTTAGGGTGTCGGGAGACAAATTCCTAAGTGAGCCAGACAGAGAGGGGGGTACAGCCTGAGCGCAGGCAGCACTGGGACACAGCTGGAGGGGGACACCCTCAAAAGCGTGTAATAAACCTAGTGTGTGCGGAGGGGCTGGGGGCTCTCAGTGTTTCAGGATGAATTCCTCCCCAAACTCATCCCTGGCACCCCCCATCCGCCCTGCTGGGGCTGCCGTCCTCTGGCCCCCGAGTCCCCACACCCAGACTCATCATGTGCTGGGTCTTTCTTCTTTTCCTTTTCCTTTTTTTGTTTCTTTTTTAATCCTTCAATCACAAGCCAAAAATACAGCTCACGTATCATCATAGATATATATATTTCACTCTCACCACATAAATACAAAACATCCAAATATCCAAAACATTCAGAACAAAGTTAGTAGCCAGGAATCAGCGACACCTACCCGCGCTGGAATCTTTCATTATTTTCTTCACTATTTGCCTTTTTTAAAAAAGGGGAGGGGAGCTTCCGACGTAAATAATTTACAATAAAATTACTATTTTTAAAATGCTCTGCGCTCACTTCGGATGGAGGAATACATTCTAGACACTGCGGCGGCTCGCCGGCTGGGTCTGTGGTTTTGGTTAAAATGCAGGGGGCCGTGGCTGGGCAGGAGGGGGACAGGGTCCTCGTTGCTCCAAGAAGGGGTGAGGCAGCAACCAGCGTCCTGGTCCGGGCTTCTGACTTGGGAGCATGGAAATCCTGGGGTTCGGGAGGCAGGGGGTGCCCTTCCTATCCACACAGCGAGCTCATCTGGATGTGAAGACCCTGGCGGTGGAGGCCTGAGGCTCTGCACCCCTGGGGCTGCGGCCCTTCCTCCTGGTCCGAAAAGAACTGCCTTGAATTCCGACGTTTCCTGCGAGCTGGAAGGGAACTGGGAATCCGGGAGTGGGAGAGAAGAGACAATAGGAGCTGACCAGTTACCCCAAACCCAGCAATTCTGGCCGGAGCCAGGCGCCTGGGAGGCTGCGGGAGAAGGGCCGGCTTCCTAGACACAGCGGGACCGCCCGGGGCCCTCTCCTGCAGGACTGAGCAGCTCTTGGCCACGGTCCGGAACAGCCTCAGAGAAGATTCTGAGTTTTCTTTGATTCGTGGAGAGACTCTTCTTTTGCTTTTCCCCTTTAAATTCCTGTTGAAAGTCACAACACCCAGAACTTTAACTTTGCTTGGCCCATGGCACATTCTTTATCCCGAATTTTGTCACACCTTCCAAACTCCACTGGTAACGAGTATTTAAAAACTGGTTCCATTTTGTCTAGTTCTACGTGGTAGGTGCTATTCTTGTTTTATTGCTGATGAGACCAAATTTATTACCACTCTTGCCTACCGTGATGTCTGGTTTATTGTCTCCTAGAGCCTGTGATGGCTGTGATTGGAGTTTCTCTAAAGGGGAGAAAACTCAGCAGGATTTGTACCGCCGGAAGCTTCGTGTGCACCGCTCTCCTGAGAGTTCTGCAAAATGGGGCCCAGGGACTCCCCAGAGCCTTGGTTTCTCTGGAGAGCAAAGAACGTCCTTTTTTCTTTTTTTCTTTTTTGGTCTAACGAAATGTGTCAGCCTTTTCAGCCCCTGGGGTCTGCGTGCAGCTTTTCTCTTTCAAATATTCAAAGAAAAAAACTAGGCAGCAGCGGCCGGGGCTACAGCAGGTGTCCTGCGCTTTGGGCTTAGAACCAGTCTTTTCCCTCCAGGCCGGCCATTAGTTGGGGGCATCAGGTTGGTGAACTCGGCATTTTCCCCAATTCTTTGGATTCTCCTGGATTCCGAAGGAAGTTCGGGGGAGGGAGAAACGGAGGAAAGGTAGAAAAAAATAGCCCAAATGAGAGAAAATGGGTGCCAGAGCCCGGTGCGGAAGGCGCACGGTCAGAGGCCTCGGGGGAGCCCCGGGCCCTTGCGCGCGAGTCCATAAATATCACCACAATAGAGACTATAAATATAAATACAGGGGGACACTCAGAGTCAGTCCATCGCCTTCTTCTCGGCCCCGTCTTTATTGCTGGTCCGGGAGTAGGGCTCGAAGGCCGAGGAGCTCAGGTAGCGCGCCGAGAGTTCTTGCAAGTTGCCGGCCAGCGAGCCGGCCATGGCCAGCGGGGCGGAGGAGAGGCGGCTGGCGACCGAGCCGAGCAGCGAGGGCACCGGCAGGCTGAAGAGGCCGTGGCCGGCGGCCGGCGCGCCCGCGTGCAGTCCCCCCGGCCCCGCGGGCCCGGGGCCCGGCGCGCCGCCCACGGCCGGCGGGTGCGGGGATGCGGCGGCGCTGGCCGGGCCCGGAGCCGCCGCGGCGGCCGCTGCGGCCGAGCCCGCCGCGGCGCCCGCGCCCAGGGCGGGCAGGCTGGGCCCGCGGAGCGCCGAGCCGAGCGCGCCCGTGGCGCAGGGCGGCAGCAGCGCGGGCAGGCCGGGCGGCGACAGGAGGCGGCCCTGCTCCAGCAGCCGCAGCACGCTGCACGTGGCCGCCGTCTCCGACACCACCGAGCGCAGCTCCGAGTCCTTGCCCTGGTCCTTCTTCTGCTTCGTGCGCCGGTTCTGGAACCAGACCTTCACCTGCGAGCCGGGGCCGGGGCGGGAGACGGGGCGGGAGAGAGGGGCAGGAGGAGACGCGCGTCACGGGGAGCGACCGCCCGCGCGCCCCAGGGCTCGTGTCCCCAAGTCCGGCCCTAGCCCGGGGGCCCCCGGCAGCGGCGGCAGCGCGTTGGGGGGAAGTCCGGGCCCAGCGGCTGCCCCGTGGAGGCTGAGGGGGGACCGGGGAGCCCTGGCTCGGGAGAGGACACAGCTCCACGGGGCTCCCTTTCGGAGGGTGGAGGCAGCCCCCCAAGCCACCCGAATTTACAAATAACAAAGTAATAAAAGTAGCCAGGACCGTGTCACCGTGGAAGAGCACAAGGGATTTCACCGCTGTGGCTAGGCCCAAAGCCACACGGTGGTTGCCTGCACCATTCTGCACCCACATTTCCAGAGAGGGTGGGGGGCTGGAGGGATGCTGTGCTGGGAAGTGGGGAGTGGAGGTGGGTGGGGAGTTGGGTTGCTCTGCTTTTCAGGGCCCATCCACCTGGAACTTAGCCCTAGAGGCTACTCTTGTTGGAGGCCACAAGAGATTATTTCTCGCCTGTTAGGGTCCGATCTGATCATCAAGTAGCGACAAGCAGGGAAGGTGCTGGAAGAGGAATCACCTGCAAGACGAACTGTATGGGCCAAACTCTCAGCACCAGCTGGATTGGAGGGGCTGAGTGATGCTCTTAATTTATCACGCTACTGAGCTGCACCATGAACTTTGGAGCCATGGGAGGAAGTCGGGGGGCTGGAGAGGACTAGATTCTCTCCCTCAGTCTTTCCTCTCACTTCCTCTTCTCCCTCTGCCCCTCTTCAGGCTGAGCAGGTGTGGAGCTAGACGGAGCTCGGCAGATGGAGGCAAAGGCCATTCTGCCTAGACTGTGTAAACTAAGAGGGGTGGCAGCAGAGAAAATAGGAAATGAACGATGCCAACACAAACTAGAGAACCTCTGGTGTGGTATGGTCTGTCCTTGGTTCTCCACTTTAGATCTAGATCCCAGACCAAGAATGCTTCTCACTTGCTTCAAGACTGGGCACAGAGTCTCCGAAAAAAGGCTGCTTTACCTTAGCCCAGTTGATGCCATGCCCTGCCCAGGCCCCAAAGGGGCTCCACAGGCAAAGCTCTGAGCTCCTAAAGTCCCCCTGGACCAGAGCCCACACGGCCAACTCCGGTGGCTGCATATGGGTTTCATGTAGAAGACCTAAAACACGGTTGGCAATGCTGGGTCCTGGGGTCCCAGATCTCCCCACCCCATGTCTCACACATCACTGGCTCAGAAGACAGGGGCTCCTGGACAGAGAGTTGGTGCTTGGGACTGGGAATGGCCGGCTCCAGCTAAGGGCCAGGAGAAGTCTTAAGGGTCAGGACAGCCTGATAGCCCGGGCACATCTTGGGGACGCACACCTTTCTAATCCCTAGGACTCACCGACAGCACTGGAGTGGGCGGACTTGGACTCTGGCCCCCTGCTTACCGCAGAGTGGGTCCCAGTGCTATACTAGGCAGGGGCCCTAAAAGGACTGGTACCTGGAAAGTTGGCCAAAATGGGGTGCCCCACACAGGGGCAAACCTCACTTCCTTTTACGACAGAGACAAACAGGGAATTCACACGACTAGGGTGCAAAAAGAATTCCAGAGAGACAAGGTGTGGGGCCTTCTGGGCTAGGCCAAAGGTGGGCAGAGCACAGGTCCTGGAAGATTTGGGGGAAGAGGTGCGAGAGGGTAAACGGCTGGTGGAAGGGGAGAAAGCTCCAGACCTTTCTTCCCCACCCTCCCTGAATTCTCCACCTCCTGCGGGAGGCTCTGTCCAGAACCAGCTAAGGGGTGAGGAAGAGCTGGCCCGGGTGGTGGGGAGGCTGGTGTAGAGCTGAGCGCGGGCTTGGCGGAGGGTACCTGGGTCTCCGAGAGGTTGAGCTGCCGGGCGAGCTCGGTCCTCTCGCGGCCCACCACGTACTGGCAGCGCTGGAACTCCATCTCCAGCCGGTAGAGCTGCTCCGCGGTGAAGGACGTGCGCGTCCTCTTAGGCCGGTCCAGATCCAGGCCCTTGGGCAGGATGATCTCTCGGATGGAGCCCTTGGCATCTGGGGAAGCGGAGATGTCAGCCGCCAGCACCCACCCGCTTCCCTCCAGCTCCCAGAGTTGGCTTTGGGGGCCCTGTTGCCAGAAGCCTGCAGCCAGGGGAGGGGGTGAGGGAAGCCACCTCTGGCAGATGGTGTCTTTGGGGGGCGAAAGGGGTAGCGCCACACCTCTGACTGGAGGGGGAACCAGACTTTGTCTTTGTAGAGCTCTCGGGACAGGGGAGAAAAAAGGATTCCAAATGGGCTGCTGTTCCTCCCGGCTTGGGGGCCTTGGCCGCGCGGCGCGGGGCCCTGAACCGTGAAGGTTCCGGCACTGACCAGTCCAGACCCCGCGGGCCCCAGCCCCGGAGCGCGTTCGCCAAACCGCTCCCCGGCGGTCCCCACCCCCAGCCCGGGGTCTCCCCTGCTCCCGAGGCGGCGGCGGAAGGAGGAGGGACCGCGTCCTGGCCCGCGGGGCCTGGCGATCTGCGGGCGGGAGGCGGCGCGGGGCCGGCTACCCGGCCTCGCCGCCTCTGCCGTGGGCTCCAAGCGCACCCGGCGCGGCAGAGCGGAGCCGAGCCCGGCCCCGAGGCGGCCTCCGCGGCCCGGCCACCCCGCCCAGCCTCTTCTCCCAGAGGCCCCGGCCAGTGGCCAGCGCGGCGCCGGGGCCCTTGGCCCAGCGCGCCCACTGGCCGGGCCGCAGCCCGCCGCTCGCCCCGCGCCCGCGCTCTCCGGGCGCGCCCAGCCCGCCGGGGCGAGGGAACCTGCAGGCAGGCTCGGGGCCGGTCCTCGGCCCGCAGGGCGCGCGCACGTCCGCCAGCCTCTCCGGCTCCTTCCCGGGCCGGAGGCCGCAGCCCGGAGCCCGGGCCCTCCCGCGCGGTCCCTCGGCCACGCTGCGCAGCCCAGCCCGCAGGGCCCCTCGCGGCCGGCGGGGTCGAGGCCCCCGGAGAGCGCGCCCCAGGGCCGGGCTCCCCGCGGCCCGCCGGCCCCGGGGCAGGGAGGGCCGCAACTTTCCCCGAAGTCCCGGCCGACACCCCCTGCCCGGCGGCCGGGCCGGCGGCGGCGCGCGCTCGGTCCCCGGCGCCCGCCCCAGGCACGCGCCCCGCGGCTCTGCCCCGCGCCTACCTCGGACCAGGATCCGGCGGCAGTAATCCGGGTCCGCCGCGGGGTTGGATTTACTTTTGTTGCAGTCGTCCGCGGCGCCCGACGCCGGGAAGGCGCCCTGCGGCTCCTTGAGGAAGGCGGCGGGCAGGCTCCCCTCCGCGCCCTTGCTCTCCCGGGCGCCCTCCTTGTGCGCGCTCTTCGAGACTCGGGCAGCCTCCGCGTCCGAGTGGCACCGAACGTCCATTTTGTCTGGTTTTCCGAACATAGGAGAGGCGAGAGCAACAAAAAAAAGGGCAAGAAAAAAACAAGAAGAAGAGGCGACGGGGGGACGAGCCCCGACAACGCGGCGCGCGCGCGGCCGGGAGAGCGGAGAGCGGCGCGGGCGGCGGTCCCCGCGGGGCGGGTCGGCGGCGGCCGGAGCGAGGCGCCGGCCGGGCGCGGCGGGGCTGGTCCGGGGTCCCGGGGCGCGGCGGCGAGGCGCCCGGTCAGCGCCCGCGTCCTCTGAGCACGTCCAGGGTCCCCAGCCCGGCGGCCGGGAGCAGCCGCGCAACTCCGAGGTGCCGCGGCGCGCGCCTGTCACTGAGGCGGCGAGTTGCAGTTGTCCGACACCCGGGGGGACGCACGCTCGCTGCTGCAATTGATTACGGGTAATTTCGCAGCCCCCACGTTTCGGTTACCTCATGAATACACTAAATTGTTTGGATAATATATCAGATCGTAATGGATGGTTTCTGTCCTTGTCCCCAATCAAGTAGGGGTTTAGCCAGTGAATCAACGGAAATGATTGGTCTTGCTTTCAGGAAACACACAATCAAAGACCCACACTTCCAGAAAAACTTTTGACAAGATTCATCCTGAATTGTTAGCACCATTAGCAGGCGTTATTAACTTTCCCTTTGCCTTTGACCCTCCGGCGCACAGAACTGGCTGGAGGGTGTCTCTGCACACTCGACAGCTAGGCTGGGGGCGGGGAGGGGCGGGGAGGGGACCCCTCACACGCCCTCCCTGCAGCCCCAGAAACAGGCGCCTGGGGAGAGAGGGGGGGTGGGCAGCCGAGGGAAGCAGCAAAAGTTTTCCCCAAAAGTGTCTCCCCCGCGCTCCAAAAAGCCCAGCCTCCGTCCCCAACAGCTCCTGCTTAACACACCTCGACGCCGCCAGCCATCTTAAGCGGCCACCTCTCTTCATTTACTTCCAGTTGGGTTTTTCATGCCTGCACCTCCAGCAGCCCTGAGGCAGCCCATTCAAAGGGCAGCTTTGTACTCGGAGAGTCCAGCAGGAGGGGGGGCGGAGAGGGCGCGGGAGCCGAGAAAATCTCCACTGTGAGATCGGCCTAAAAAAAAAAGTTTTCCCCTCGCTATTGCATTGTCTCTGCTACAATATCTTTGAGAAAAGCAACAGCCAGTAATCCAATAAGAGCATTGATTAGGCTACAATGATTCAATTCAAGCGCATGGCCTTGTGCAAGGAGCATGCTCCAGCCCTTCTCGTCACCTTGGCGGGGCAGAAGCCCTCTCCACGCTGCTCTCGCCATTCATTCCTTTATGGGAAATGCGGAGCAAAAGGAGTGAAAGATGGCAATTATCTAATTGGACTATTAACAAACAGTCCTCTGAGTGCGGCGGGCTGGCGTGGCTCCTGGGCGGGGGAAGGGCCGCGTTCCCCGGCCTCATTCACAAAGAGCGCAGGGCCGGGGTGGAAAGGGGATTTTTAAAGGGAGTCGGGGGGTGGGGGCGAGGGGAGAGGTGGGAGGTTTGGCTGAGAATTTTTCCACACAATTCCAGGAATGGGGGCGGAGGCGGGCGGGCGGGCAGGGGGAGGGGCGGGGCGGGGGTCGCGGCGAGCGGGAGGGGGCGAGGAGGGAGGGCGCGGGGCGCCCGGGTGTGCGCGGGGCTCCGGGCGGCCGGGCGCGCACCCCGCGCGCCCCTCCCGCCGCGCGGCCCCCAGCCCCGAGGGAGCCGCGGGACCCCTCCAGCCTCGGGGGTCGGAGGGGGCCGCGACGCCGGGCTCCGCGCGCTCCCCGCCTCCGGGGGCCCCTCCATCGCGTCTCCCCGGGCCTGGCGGGGGATCCCACCTGCGGCCGGGCTGGGAGAGCGCCTCGCGCGCGAGGCTGACCTTGGGCTTTCACTTTACCCGGTGGGGCTGGGGGTAGAGGAGCCAAAGCCTCTCCCCGCGGGGCAGCGGGTTTGGGGGTGCGCAGGTGGGTGCTGGGTCCGCCGTCCCCGCTGCGAGCGCGGCCTCCAAGCCCGACGCGCGCTGGAAAGTGCGTTTCCCCGGGCGGGTCGGCGGGGGCGAGAGCGAGCGCGCAGGGGTCGTGTCCCCGCGGCCACTCGACGCCGAGGCGCGGGGTGGGGGTGAGGCAAAACGCAGCCCACTCCTCAGCTACTGCCCGCGGCGCCCAAGGGCTCCAACGCCGGGACTGCAGCCTGGAGGCCCCGAGGGCTGCGCCCCCTCCAGGCCCGGCCGTCCAGAGGCGCCCCCTCGCGCTCTGGGCTTCCAGGACTGGGGGCGAGAGCGGCTCCCCGGATTCGCATCCTCCGGAGCAGTCCGAGCTGTGGGGTGACCCTTGCTTCCTGCAGAGCTCGGCCAGAGGCAGTTTCTGGGGCCTCTGCAGGTGGGGTGCTTGGGGGTCCCAAATCCCGGTCCACAGTCCCTTCCTGGCCCCTGCGGGGCGTGGGCGGTGTGAGACCCTCAGATGGCGGGCCCTAGTCAGGCCAGACCCCTACTGCTCTGGGCCCCATTTGCAGCTGGGTGTGGCGCGCCTTCCCCCCTTCAGGGGCCCTGCGGGGTGCAGAGAGTTCTGGACCACGCAGCACTGACAGGACACGGCCACCCGATCCCTGGAGGCGTCCTAGAAGTCCACGTTGACACCCGCAGCGCTGGATCAAAGGCCTGGAGGAAAAACTATAAAAGTTAAAATGTCCAACCCACACTTTCTATTTATTTATTCTTTTTAGGTGGAGGTAGGAAACCAGCCAGGCCAAGAACTGCTGCTCTTTAAAAATGACGCACCCATGGTCAGTGGTGTCCCCAGGCCAGGGCTGCTGTGCCCCACCCCAACCAGCACCCGGGACAAAGTCAGTTCTGGCCAAATCCCAAACACCAATTTGAAGCTGGGCCTGGAGATCCTCCTGCCTCTTATAGGGGATAACAGTGGCCTATTTTGTTAGTAGTGGGAAGAGTTTATTGGTGCTCCCTTGCTGGGTGCATAAACTCTCTTAATTTTCTTAATTCCTCTGTCATGGAGGCAGTGATAGAGTAAAATAACCCAGTTGCAAAGAGGTTCAATGCTTTGTCCAAACCATACAGTTGGTCAGAGCAGGATTTGAACTCTGTTCTGTCTGACTTCTAAATTCATACTCTTCCTTACCAACCCTGTGGGCTCTGCCCCCTTTTAATTCCAAGCCTATCCCTGTTTTGTGTTTTTGGAATCCTCTGGTGATCGTGTGGGTGTCAAACAGATAGACAGCAATAACCTGATGTTGATGCCAGGAATCCTGATTATGAGGCATCGATTTTAATGAATTTATCCAACAACATGAAATACAGATGGAAACAGGAAAATCTTGTTTCTGATAGGGCTGTTTATTGTTAGTCATGAACATTTTTTGGAGTTTATCACCCTCCTACATCAAACTGCCTTGGGGTGAGTAAAATGTCTTTTCCTGAGTCCCAAACCTACCGAATAATATGTCAGAGCAGTGTCCAGGGTTGTACGTTTCTAGTCACCCCACAAGTTAAAGTGGGAGAACTGAAGCTTTAAAGTTGGGGGGCTGAGCTTCCTGGTGTGCTGCTTCCCCCTTATAAAACACAAATGCTTTGGGAGAAGAGAAGAAAATGGAATGTCACCATGGGAAAACACCTCATTTATTATGTTTTTATTGAGGAACACTAGTTTACAATGTGAACTAGTGATTCACAGATACAGGCTCACACTTCTGCAGATGAGTATCACCACACCACACCCACCAAGGTGAGTTTGGGGATGTCAGGACCTGGGGCTGGGCCCGGGGTGGCCCTAAAGCATAGAGGTGTCCCCTCTGGAACTTCCAGGATAAACCCTTGACTAAGGGATGCTGTTGTCCTTTGTCACGACTCAGGGTTGGCAGTGGGGTCCAGTGACTGGTGGCCCACTGTGTTCCGAGCCCTTGAAGCAGCCAAACTCAAATTAAAAAGTCAACCCATAACCTGTTTTTACTTTTTGTGATGCATGGTTCACTTGCGCTCGTGTGTATGTGTGTGTGTGTGTGTGTGTGTGTGTGTGTGTGTGTGTGTGTGTGTCTGGATTAAAATTCTATGGGCATCCATCCAGAAAAAGCATGACAGGTTTCTGGGAGGACACAGTGGAGGATGAAAGCCCTGGAATGGAAATCTCAGAAAAGCAGCTGTTACTCCCAGAAAAACGAAAGCCGTGTGTCCATGCAGACAAGAGAGAACCCAGTCAATTATTCGGCTAAACTAGACAAGCTTGCCCTATGCAACACTCATGAGGACACAGGGCTGCTCAGGTAAAGAGTGTTTTGTTCTCTTGACTCGATTTGCCTCCCTCCCCAGTGCCCTTCCTGCCCCCACATCACTGTCTGCAGGTGCAGACAGACCCAGAATAGAACTGTAGAGCTGGAAGGATTTTTTAGAGATCATCTATTCCATAACATTCATTCGACTTGACAGATGAGGAAAATGAGCCTGGAGAGACAAAGCGACTTGTTAAGGATTAGACAACTAGTTAGTGGGGGCATCTGTGCTACTATCCTGGTCTTCTGCACTCCTACCACCATCCAGGCTTCCCACAACCTGAATAAGAAGATGAATGCTGTCTGCGGGACTGGGTGAAATGATGCCATATAAATTAACTAAGTCACAATCTGAACCGGGGGTGCTTTTCATATTGCCTGCCTCCGCCCTGTCACTGCAACAGAAAGCAGGATCAGACCTGGTACATGGGGCTCTCCTCTTCCATCCTCATTTTTTTCTTTATTTCAGAAATATATAGGAGGGGAAACCATGCTGGCAGGAAATCTGAGCTCCTCTTAGATTATGAGTGGCTTGGGGACAGCATAACTTAATGTCTGAGCCATCATTTTGTAGAGAACTGCATCAGAGAAGATGATATAACCAGAAATTAAGTTTCTGTAACAATGAATCAGGGCACCTAATAATAATGACTAATTAGAAATAAGAATACTTGGCATTTACATAGAGATTTTCATCCCAATCAAAGTTCTAAGCGGTGATAGAATTCATTCTCATCTAACTGTCATTAGCCCC